TTGTTGCGTAAGCAATGTGAACTGCAATGGCCGGCAGCTTACGTCCTATCGCGCATTCCCGTAGCGGAAGGTTCCGATCTTCACATTGTTGCAATTTCGACGCGACAGTCAACTCCAGCAGCCATGCCCGCCATCGCGTTCGCGTATCAAGGACCCCAGCTGACAGCAAGAAACTCGATTGGTCCTACACATACCTCCCGGTTGAAACTATCACGTAGGTATCGGCAAAGGATCAGAAGAGTTATGCACGATGTGTAATTCTAGGGTACATTGTCGGGCTTGTCCAACTACTGAACATCCTCGTGCTGCCTTGGAGAGTGATGAGAGCGGGTGCAGCGATATCCCCTTCGACAGAACACTTAACAGAGTGACTTGGCCATGTCAAACAAGCCCCGATCTCTCGCGCGCGCCACCGAGAACGTGATGTTCATCCCCTGCGATCGAAAGTGGTTCGCCATCATCTTCAGAATACCTTTGTGGGCGTCTGCGCGCGCTGCTGTGTACACGGTCTTGAGTTCGCGCTTCATCCCGACACTCAGAGCTCGCCGTATAGTGTCTTTCGCAGCCAATCTCTCGTACTCCGTGTAGTTACAGAATGGATCACCGAGCTTATATATTCGCTTATGAAGCGGCCCCAGTGGGTGGTTCAGGATTCGAATGCGAACCTCGCAAGTCTTCCTAAGCGCCATTCTTCTCAAAGTCTGTTTGACAAACTTGTACAAGTGCTTGGTTTTGCACTTGGTATGCGCACTGGAAGCCCTCATATTCCCGTTTTGTACTTGCTGTGGTAGATACGTGTCGTTGTACCAAGACGCGATCTTCAAGCTGACGTATTTGACCGCAGTACTGTGTTTTTGAGGCCCATTTAGGTACGTACGCAGTTGCTTGCCGGCGAGATGGAAGGTATCCGAGAGCGCAACATACACAGGGTCTATCTCAGCGCGCGTCGGGCCGAGAATCATCTTGGGCACAAGCTCATCGTTGACCTTCTGTAACGGCTTCTGTACCGCGGGATGCTTCACCTCTTCGTATATGGTCTTGTTGAGCTGAAGAAGTGCGGTTGGCATCCGACATACTTCCCAGCTGCAGATGCATGGCTCGGGGAAAATGGGATCGTAGACGATGGCTGCTAGGTAGTTGTAGATTTGGCAGCGCAGTTCGGTTGGTAGGGCCATGAATGGAGAGGACGCTGTACCATCTATTGTAGCTGTGGATGATGGTCGGCTTTGATAGAGGGTCTGTTTGCGCTTTATCTTCTTGATGTTGCCGTTGGCGGGTATCTCATCGCCGGCCGGCTTATTGAGAGGATGTGTGCGTGTAGAGGCGTCGCCTGTCTTGACTCTCTTAGCAGGCTTTGCAGTCGTGATTGCGTCGTTTTTTCGCTTTGAAGGCATCGCGGCGGTATGGGGCAAGGCTTCTCGTGCGCCGTGTTGCCAGGTGTCAGCCCGATTAGCTCGAATTAATCCTAGAATGTTAAGTGTGTCGGCAAGAACGGGGATGGGAAGACGAAGACGCGGGTATTATCTGGAATTTGGAAATTTGCTGTTTCGTTTTCGTGGTCGACCCGAACAAACTTGCTCGATGCTGACCAATGTAGCGCCCATGATACATGATTGTAGTCTGGCAGTACCGTCCACGAGCAGAACTCAGCACCAATCAGTTGTGCGCAATACGTCGAATATGAGTCTACCATGCAACAAGATCCACACAAAACCGACGTCGTTGCTAGCACAAACTACTTGTCTGCCACCGGCATCCCTATCCCCAAATCAAAATGGAAAGTCGGATATCTCGACGGGGAAGGCGAGTATAGGATTTGTGAGACAGCTGGGTATCACGCAAGCGAATGAGGCGCTTATCATGTTGAAACGCATCAGATGCGATGAACTTTTCACAACGGGAGCGTATGTTGCTAATAATATAGAGACGTGTATAATGTAGACTATATGAAGAATGTTCTCTGCGAACGTTATCCTGAATTCATCTAGTTGGTTTCACAAGTATGTACCGTTGCTTGTAAAACCAACTCGATGAATTCAAATTACGTTCGCAGTGCTCGATCGAACGCCAAGAAGAAGTCCTGCCTGGTATGGTATATGGGCGCATCGCCGTTAGAATATTTCATGGAGTTGAGGATGTTACACTACGAAGGATACCTTCGCATGAAAAACTCTGTAGTCCTTAATGCTTCTTCGCGTCCTTCTCTTTCTTCTTCTCCGCGATCATCGCATTCAGCCTGAAGAATGACGTGAACCCTTCAATAAAACACGTGCCCACCCACTTCCACCATACCGCATCAAGAAATGTGCATCCGTGTTTCGCAAGTTTCCTCGCCATGATGATCGCTTCAACCATGTGAATAGGTACCATGATGGCCCAAACCGTGAAGCCGACTCGAGCGACGAAGCTCGCAAAACCTGGCACAGGATACAACACGGTGTCATAGAGAAGCGATCCAGGCTGCCAGTTTGCCGCCCGCGGTAGCAAGAGCAGGGCAAGTACGCATTGCGTAAAGTTCCACAGATGAGCAGGACGCATGTACGCAGGAACGAACTTTGTGATGGCGATGTCGCTTCGGCCCAGGGTCTGGAGAGCATCTTTGTCCATTTGAACAAGCCGCTCGCGAGCCTCGCGCATGGCCTTCATCGGTGGATCGAAGGCGATGACAGCTTGTTGCCCACCGCAGCTCAAGACCATCTGGTTCAGATCAATGTCGACCATCTGCGCCGAGCGACTCTGCATCATGGACTTGGAAGCGTATGCTTCGGCATACCGGCGTATCTATGGTCAAGATTAGGACTGGAACTCGATTTCGACATCAACGGTGCATGAAGTGGGTGGCGCGTACGGAGTCGTGGTGGTCTGCATTCATGTGCTTGATGATCCGCTGCTTTGCGGCTGCATCTGCAGCTTCTGGGGATGTCATGCTGGAATAGTAGTATGCTGGTGTCCAATTGACTGGTTGCTCTCGTTGAGCTCTGGGGAAGGTACGTATGGAAATGCCGTCGTCACGATACCCGCCAGACCGGCGCAATTCGGGCCGGCCATCGGGGAAGATCTGGTGCGCCCCGCGATTGCGTCTTCCCAACGATCGTTAGCACAACGCTCATGATATCGAATTTATCGCGGGAGTCTCTCGACGCTGCGCTACCTCAGATCTATTGTGCGCGCTATGAAGACGCGTTCCCAATTCCACGCCAGCACTAAACGGTCTCCCGCACCCTATGGGTAAACGTTCCGCCAGACCACTGATCGAGGCCTCGCCCGTGCCACAGCATGTCCCAAAGCGTTGATGTCAAGCGCATTCAGCTGACGCGTTGCTCGATGCATCGCCATTGGAATTGGTGCGCGCGCCAATCACGAGCAAGCGAGACCAGAGGCACACGAGCTCGCAACGCATCGGGTTGAGCGGAACAGCTAGACTGTCGCAAGCACGATTTCAGATCTAAAATAATCAGGTTGGCAGCGCGCAGGGATGGGGTCAAGTTTTGGGACGCTGGCGGTGGGGTGGATGTGGGTGCCACATGGTGCGTCAGACTGCATGACGGGTGGCTCGAGTGCGGCAGGGGTAGCAGGTACCTTGAAGCTTCAAACCGGTTCCTGTTCCCAGGCCGCTTTTCTCTTATTAACGAATTGCGCCGTGGCTCTGGACTCGCAACAATTTCCGAAGCACCTTCAGCTCGTCACGCATCACCCGTCTAACTACTTCCCACCCACCCAAAGACCACCCAACCAACACCATGGCGGACACGGTTGAAGAGACCAAGCAGTCTGTCTCCGGAGAGGGAAACGCGGATGCCAACGCCTCGGTAGGCGCAAAGGGCAGTGCGGAATCATCGAGTAAGAAAACCGAAAGGAAGACGCCGAAGAAGCTGGGCGGAAAGAAGCCTCAACAGCAGCCCACTCCTGACGCCACTCCTGCCCCCGAAAGCGATGGCGAAGGGAAAGCTGAGCAAGAGGACGCAGAATCCAAGAAGCAAACCAACGGCGGCGACGCTGACAACGAATCCGACGAACCCCAGCAAGAAAAGTCAAAGTCGCAATCGAGACGCCGCCAGTCGCGTGGCCGTGGCCGACGAGGCGCAGACTCCGGTGCCGAGTCTGATGCGCGATCCGACGTGTCCCAATCTGGAGGCCGTCGCAACCGCCAGCGCCAAAAGAAGGGCGGCAAGGGCGGAGGTCCGCTAGACGACATCACCGAGAACGTTCCCGGAGGCGATGCAGTCGGTGGAGCCGGCGAGATGGTTCAAAACACTGCTGGTAACGCTGTCAACCAAGTTGGCGACACCGCTGGCAAGGCCCTCGGAGGTCTCACCGGCGGCGGCGGCGGTGAAGAAGAGGGTGGAAAGGACGGAGGTGAGCAGCTGAGGCTGCGCCTGGAACTCAACCTCGACATTGAGATCCAGTTGAAGGCCAAGATCCACGGAGATCTCACGCTTGGATTGCTGTAAGTCAAGCCTGCAACCATTCATCACCGAAGCCAAATGCTAACTTTGCGCAGTAACTAGGAGACGGTCGAGGATGAATGCACGAAACGCATCGCTTGCTATATTGGGAGATCATTAAGGCGTTTGGTTTGGAGTTTTGCATGTAGTGTTACGATACGTATTGCAGTATAATACGACACAATGAACAACTTGCACCACCACTCATTGCTGAATCATCGCGCTGGCATACTGATGGCGTTGGTGATTCTGTAATCTCATCCAACTTCGTCATGATCATCGCAGCGTCAGGGGATGTCTCTACTAGGCGTGTTATTACCAGGCCCTGTAATAATACCCCAGTAACCGAGAGTGCATGCGACGTCAACTCATTGAGTATGAAGTAAGCTATCCGAGCCTGCGTCTAAACTTGACAACTATTATGCCCGGGATCGAGTATTGCACAGCCGTTGCCCGCGAGATCAACGGTCCGCGTTAAGCGATCGGCGGGTGGCCCAGCCACTCGCGTGGGCGCGAGACTGGTTGTGCTTCGCCATCGCTGCACGCGTCGTCAGCATGTGTGCAAATGTCGGGCGACTTGCAAAGACGCGCGCAGATGCATCGCCTTGACATACGTCACGCAGCGGCTGTCAACCCGATTGGGAACGCAATCGCTGGTGTCGCTCGATGTGGGCCTGACGTCATCCGTAGCGAGCCTGAAACGGTGAGACGGTACGACGGATGAAAAGACAGGGGTGCAAGCTTGCGGCGGCGGCGTCCTTGCTTTGGGGGCTACAGAGGACCAGGCCGTTGCGAGTAATCTTGTTTTTGGAGTGGAGCTGCCCGTACCAGTCGTGGCGTGCGTAGGCGTGTAGTAGCTCCGCTTGCTGCTCGACCTTGCTGACTTCACATCTTGCTCGCATCCATCGCCGTTACCTCGACACCTCTGCGCAATTCTTCACCTCCATCACGCAGACAATCCCCATCCAGAACAGCCTCTTCCAACCGCCCGAGGCCTTGCATGATAGCAAGGATACCCGACGACATGGCCGACAAGGACTCCGACTATGAGAACCAGCCGCACGAGCGGTCGACGATGCAGCAGGAGAAGGCTGTGAACAAGGCCAAGCAGGACAAGCGCGAGGCGGGCCTACAATCCGCCCGGTCGCGCTCCTCGTCGCGCCGCGCCCGCCGCAACCGCATCGAAGAAGACAAGAAGAACGGCAAATACATGCACACGACGTCGCTAGAGGCCCTCGAGGAAGCCGACGCAAACGGCGATCTCCAGAAGATGGGCATGTTCGAGCGTATCGGCCCGGACAGCACATCCATGGACGGGCCCGTCACATATGCCCGCGCCATGCGAGGCGAGATCCCCATGCGCGGCACCGACCCCAACCAGCCCTACCGCATGGAGCCGCAGCAAAAGGGCAGCGAGCTCAAGGACCAGGACGGACTGAAGCTGACGCTCGAGGCGAATCTGGAGATTGAGATTGAACTCAAAGCGAGTATCCGCGGCGATTTGACTTTGAGCTTGTAGTAAGTCCACCCCTGCCTTCGCCCTTTCGCTTACATCGAGCCTATACATGACTGTACGAGCGAGCGAAGGCGACGAAGTGTTATTAGAAGACGAGCATGGACGAGTGCTAATTGGCATCACGCAGCCAATAACACGAATATCGTTACCCTCTTTCTTCGAATGACATCGTGCGCGCTCGCTGTGCAGTCTGGGCCTCAACACCACCCCTCCTATCGCCCCCCTCATCTTTTCTTCTTCGCCAGCGTCCTGGCGAGACACGTAGTAACTGAACTTAACAGTGAATAGTGCTTGATGGATGTTGCATTCCCCCTCGTTCCACGACCGTCACGAACCCGCCCCGCAGCCGGCGCCGACCGCGAACAACGGGGCAGCGTTATATGGGGATACATGTTTGAGCGTTTAGGAGTTACACTGGTTGCTTTGTAGGGGCTCGGATAGCATGCGACAATAAAAGAATCGATAATGACCTCCCGTTTTGTTGGCGAGGCGGTCGCATTCCATGCTGTGTATACTTTGGTACCGAATGCAGGCTGCGCGGCGTCGCTCGGAGCAGCTTGTCAGCGCCCGCAGCCTGCAGTTGCCCAGTGTCATCCGGCATATTGCGACAGACTGACATGCGCAGGGCAGACGCTCGAATGAATATCTTGAGGCCGACCAACCTCCTAACAACTGGTAGATTTGCTATTGCGCTGGCCACGAAAAGGCTTCATGGACCCTTGCAGCATACGTAAAATCGACCAGCGACCAGCGAGTAGAGCCAATAAGCCGCTGTGTCATGCCTCTCCACACCGAGATGTCTGGTAACGAGAGCCACAATGGCGAGGGTCTCGTATGCGCGCAACCCGCAATATTGCGCGACTGACAGCTTCACACCACATTCCATCTACGTACTGACAACTAATCCCCACCTCATACGAGCAGCCTCCTCCAGCAATCAGTCCTGAATCGCGGCAATAAGCGTGCTCTCCCCTTTTCCAATACCCAGTTCGCCGACGACGGAATGGGTGCGTTCAGCGCTTTCGTTACCCGCCGAATGGATCCCGATGCCGCAGAGAATAGCGGCCTGCGGAGATGGCGCAGACGTGCGAATACAGTCGCAGGAGGTAAGTTCGTTCCGTCTGGAAAGGCTTGGAAGGGCAGTAATGCTGACGCGGCGTCGCGCAAAGGTCAGGACGGCCACGATGTCAAGGAATCTTGGGCTAAGCGGGCGGCGAAGGGCCTCTGGGAGCGTGTTCACAACCGTGACGGTCGATCAAAGGATGCGGAGGCGACTGGGAGTGCGTTGAGGCTTGAGTCGGACAACAACCTTTCTACGGGGCTGAGCACACAGCTGCTGATTCCTGCCCCTGTCGCTCCACCGATACCACAATATACGCAGGAAGAACAGCGTCCCGAGACCGAATCATCCTCTTCGACAGCCAACACCGTCTCCTCCTCGAGGACCATTACTACCACCCAATTCGGAAGCCCACTGACGCTGGTCCCTCATCATACACGTGCGGGAAGTCCCACACATGACTGGATCCCGGCTTCCCCAAGCCCCCGGACCTCGGAGATCTCTACCGTCATCGAGTCGCCCTCGGGTTCTGATCTATCCGTCGATCCCTATAACGAGCTCATCAACAGCATCGAACGATTTCACTTCGCTCTTCTTGTGGACTCCAGCACCATTGATAACATTTGCGGCGACGTACGAGATGTACTTGAGATTAGTAGCAATAACTTGCTGACCGTCGGATGCGACCTACAAAGGCTGCTGGTCATCTGGCGTAAGATCACCAGCAACGCAGCGAACGTTGCGGCGCTTGAGACGTCAGAACCATGGGCCCTTGTAAGTAAGGAGCACATCGCGAAAGCCTGCGTAGACATGAAGAAAGGGCTTCAGTCGTATCGGGACTGGTTGGACATCGTGGCTCGCAACAAGAGGATAGCCCAATCTCAGAACGCGATCAGCCATGAGTGGTGCGCAGCCTTGAACGACAAGGTGAAAGCGCTCGATGTGATCGAAGCGCTGGACTTTGACGATGTTGCTGCTCAGGTGGAGCTTGTCATGAGGAAGTACGTCGGTGCTGAGGAGGAAGTCGCGACTACAAGTGGACCAGCTGCACCTGCCAGTATGACTAACACCACGTTGTTGCCTAGCGCCATCTCCAGATGCCGCCGCACTTCGCCTTCACTGAGCAGGCGCCTGTTGGCCTCACTGTCGCGACCGCGATGTGCTTCGACCATCCTGCAAGCAAGCTCAATCCGCGACAGCCCACGGGCCTCGCAAACAACATCGCGATACCCGCAGTTATCCCAGTCGCCTACGCCTGTGCCATCACTTCCACCTGCCTCGGTGCAATACGGGAGTCAGCCTACTCCGGCCGTAGCGAGCGCCCCCAGCCATGCCCAGCCTGCAACAGCTAGCTTGAGGCCGACTGCGTCTACCACGAATGCGCCCAACTATGCCCGGCCGACGAAAGCAAGCCTGGGATGGTGCCAATCGACAGCCAGAAACAGCATGTCTGCATCCAGAGTCGCGCCAGCATCTCAGTTGCACCATCTGGCTTCTGCTATTCACAGTCGCCGGACAAACGGGTTACAGCGTGAGACCTGGCCAGATGACGACCACAGCGGCCCTTCACCCGATCTAGAACACGCTCCGCCCATCCCGCCCAAGTCCATCAAGAGACTGATACCTAGAGCGTCCACCCCGTCGCCCGCCCACTTACGCTCGGACTCAGCCCAGTCTTTGTCGCGGGACGACGTAGCCACTACTCGGCGAAGTACCTGCTCTTCAATCTATACTAACAGCAGGATTCCTGTAAAGGCTAATGGCACGAGCAATCCAGGTTCCCCTCGGCCTGCCATGGCTGATGCGCAGACCGAGCATGACGCGAACACGCCTCGCGTACCTACACCGCGACCTGGGCGCGACAAGTTCGATGTTGGCGTCGATCACAATCGGGATCCCAGCCCCAACACGCATGATATGGCGGTCAGAATGGATGAGATACGCGCGAGGATGAGCCGGATGACGGCGGACATGAAGGCAAGGAAGCTGGAAAGAGAGAAGAACGTCTCGACACAAGATGGACCGACAGAAGCTAGAGATGATGCGCACGCCCAGGAAGGCTAATGAGGATAGAGATACACCAGACACCAGATACCGTTATGGGCAGCGAACACCAATGAAGTGAACGTCTCCGCGCCTACCAATCTCGCATCCCATTCATCGATCGCGGCCCGGCGTCCCCGGTGTCCCCGCAACCGAGCCTGGATGTGCGTCTACACGAGCAGTTTCGCTTATTTCGAGTATTGAGTTTGTAGGAAGCGAAAAGATGTGATGTCTTAGAGTTGCCAAATCTCACGGGAGCTATGCTGGCCTTGGCTCACACAAGAGCCTTACACTGCGTTGTGAAAGGATGCTGATCATCGTCGGTAATGCAGCTGAGATTCACGCGCTTCTCATTCGACGGACTTCGCATAGCACGATAGCTCCTTTCTACATTGTCTTCACAAGCGTCTCGATCTCACGGCCCGTTCCCCTGCTGTACCTCGTCGCACCGAACCCAGCGTGGTGGCGCGCCCACTGCGACCTATGAGATCGCAATTCTAGGCTGCTGTACCCGCGATGTGATGTTGCTTTCCCGTCATACTGGACCCAACATGACTGACCCTGCCGGACCACCTGTCCGCCACGCGCTTCCACCCACACGGCTGGCTCGACGAAGGAATGGCTTTCCCGAGATGATCTGCGGCAGCCGCCTCATCGCAGTCATGATCGACTTAGCGAAGCCCCGAATTTCTGGAGATGCGAGATTCGGTGGTATTGACACATTGAAGGCGCAGGTCTCGACTCGAGCTCGCACGCTGCAGCAACTCAACGATTCCCCACCGCATTACTATTCGCGTCAACTGGCGTGATGTTATGTTGCCCAGAATATACGAGACTATGCCAAGTCGTTCGTGTCACTCCTCGTGAACAGCAGCATCTACACTGACCGCTACTCGTAAAGCAATCCGTGTCCCCGTTCCACGTCTGCTTGTCCAAAGACCCATTCGAGGTGCGACGGCAACTGGACGGCCACACCGCTGACGAATGCTCGCTTGGCAAGTATGCAGGGTTCGTAGCACAATATGCAGCTCAGTTCCGAGATCACCGATAATACGCTTCAAGGCACGCGGCATCGGTACAAACATACAGGAGTTCACAAGCACTCAGCGAGACCTTATAACCCTTCGAGCTCGACATATGAGTTGACTAGAGCATCTGAAAGCAACCTGGCATTCTTCCAGGAAAACCGATCCTCAACATGCCTCTCCAGAAGCCTCATCCTCAGGTTCAATCGCTCAAAGTTCAGCATCGAACCAGCCTACAACAGTTACAGGAAAGACGCCGCACGCTCCATAGCATCAGCGAACTCAATGCGACTGACCTTGCGACGCCTGAGTTCCCACCCTTTGCTGCTGCGATACAGATGCTGCCGCGAGACCGGGAACGCGTCCCGAAAGCAGGCAAGAATGCTGAGACGGCTATAAAACAACCAAGTCGATACCGACGATTGTCGAGCTCGGAATGCTCTCAAGTCGAAGTCACGGCTCCTGCATCGCTTTCGCATTCTTCAGTAAGCCACCAAGAACGGTACGAACACAGCCTTCCTGACAGAGGGATGAATCTGGAGGAGGAAGACTGGACCGCCAGACGAGACCACCCCGGCTTGTATTACAGAGGAGCAGTAACATCGCGGGAACGCCGCCGTCAATCCCTGCAACACATGCCGCAAGATGGAAGTTATCCCAGGATGGAGACAAGATCAGTGCGATCTGCCTCACGGCCCAATCTTCGATCATATTCCAGTCATCCTCAGTTACTCACCAACGGCTATTCAATGAGCGGTTTCTCATCTTCCTCGTCGTCAAGCGGCACTCTTGACCGCCGATCCAGCGTTGGAACCATGAATAGCCAGTCATGTCCCTGGTCGCATAGTCTCGAGGCTAGCGATATGTACACAAGTGCTGGATCCTTCAATCGCGCCACAAAAGGAACGAACTCTGACTCGTTCGATAAAGGGTTCAACACACCTGAACTTCCACTGATCCCCGTTCCCTTGCCATCGAGGCTGAGATATCGACAAATGACCACCCCGGCCCACGGGAACCGCCCGCGACCGAATTCAGCAGGCCCGATGCAGGTGGAACTGACTGCAACTTCGGCATCGTTGCCTACCCAGCGCATTGCTCATGTTGACCCGTCACGACAGAACCGGAGACGCAGCATATCTCGCTCCGCTCATCAGCATCACCAAGGCGAAATGCGAAGAACGCGTTCGGAGTCGCTTACTGCACTCACAGCTGCGCAATCGGGGTCGTGCGGCCAGCAGTGTACATGGTCCTCGCGCCCCAGCCCTCCACCAATTGAAGACGCTCTGTCCCAGCATACGCACCGCTCATCCATTCATCGTCATGCGCAGCCAGGTATATATCACGGGCCTCCGCCGCAGTACGTTCCGCCACCAACGATGGCCTGTCACCCCAACATGACAATGGCCCTACACCGAAGTACACCTGGATTCGGCCAGCGCGCGATACCGACGCGCGAAAGCTTGTCGCAGTGGAATTCGGACCGCAAAGAAGCAAAGATGGGTTTCGGCGACATGCATCGCGCAGACATGAAGGAGAGAGTACGACGCGCGAACGACTTGGAGCTGAAGAAAGAGCAGGAGCTGGTACACTCGGACATGGAAGCGAGTGGTTTGGCGCAGGACAACGCGCGAGGCTGCTTCGGCGCAGTGCTACGTCTGTTCAAAATTGGTTCAGAATAATAATAACTGCTGTCTTGCTATCGCGTAAATAGAGGTTATCTAACTTTATTACACTAAGATATAGAGTTAGATTCTTTACTTTTACTAATAGATTACTAGCGCTTATATTAGCTAACTACTATATTTCTTTATTCTTTATAATTATAATTATTAGTACTTAACTATTAAAATATATCTTAAAATTAGAGTTAGTAGTATTATATATATATATACTCTCTTTTTTAATACTTACTATACTTTATATACTATTATATATAGTTATTAAAGTTATACTAATATTAGAGATTAAAATTTATATATAACTTTAAGTAAGCTATATAAATATCTTATAGTATATTAAGAATACTAAGTCTATATATACTATTTTTTTATTTAGCTATCTTTTTACTTATTCTTTTATATAAATACTTTTCTATTTATTATATAATAAATAAACTTACTATATAATACTTAGTACTTTTATTTACTAATTACTAGTTTTAGTATTACTATTTCTATAGCGTATACTTATATTATATCTACTACTTACTATTATAAGTTTATATATATTTAGAAATTTTATTTTATAGTAGAATCTTATATAATCTATAAATATAACTATTTTATATACTATCTTATATACTATTTTATATATTATTTTTTATATTATCTTATATACTATCTTATATCTTATCTTATATACTATTTTATATATTATTTTATATAGTATTTTATATTCTACTAATAAAAAGATATTTTATTATAAAGCTATTTTATATAATAGTTTATTTACTTTTCTTAATAATTATCTTTTAAAATATAATATATAAATAGTACTAACTTTATTATATAAAGAATTAGAGTATAATTCTTTATTTTTATTAATAAATTACTAGCGTCTATATTAGCTATCTACTACGTTTCTTTATTCTTTATAATTATAATTATTAGTACTTAACTATTAAAATATATCTTAAAATTAGAGTTAGTAGTATTATATATATATATACTCTTTTTTTTAATACTTACTTTACTTTATATACTATTATATATAGTTATTAGAGTTATACTAATATTAGAGATTAAAATTTATATATAACTTTAAGTAAGCTATATAAATATCTTATAGTATATTAAGAATACTAAGTCTATATATACTATCTTTCTAACTAACTACTATTTTATCTACTTTTTTATATAAGTACTTTTATCTCTATTATATAATAAGTAGACTAACTTTATTAAATTTATAACTTTTACTATTAAATTCTATAAAATTTAGTCTATATATCTTTATATTCTAGTACTAGCTTTATAGCTTAAGCTAACTATTATAGAATATATCTCTAGATACTTCTTAAGAGTACAGCACGTAATTATACTAGTATAGATTAAAATAAGCTCTCTAGAGCTTTACTACTTAAGAAAGCTTTCTAAGTAAGCTTATAATATAATAAGTTATCTTTTATTTATTTCTATACTTCTAGATATAATAGTTATAAGCCTAGCACTTTAAGAAGATAATATAGTTCTATATATATATACTTAAGACGTAAAGCGTTTAATAGAGTATAGTAATACTAATTCTATTACTAATCTTTACACTTCTATAGAAGTACTACTCTATTACTTATAATAAGTAACTCTATAATAATCTTTATAGAAGCTTTTATACTTACTAACTTAGTATATTAGCTTAAGTAGTTTACTTAGTTTAAATTCTATACTCTAAGTAGAGAAATTTAAGCTAACGTTAACTCTAATACTAAAATAGCTACTTCTATCTAGATAAGTATTTTAACTACTCTAGAGCTAGTAGTAATTATATAGAATACTTTAGTTAATAAGCTTTACACTAATAAGTATAATCTATCTAAGAGAATATTTTAAAGCTACTAGGCCTAAGTAATTTTTAGTAAAGGTAATAAGTACTAATAAGAAATAGAAGGTAGCTCTAAAGTAGTAGCTCTAAGGCTTTTAAACTCTACTATCTAAGAGTTTAAATAAAATCTAAGTAGGCTATTTTATATAGAATAACTATATAAATTTAATACTTTACTTAGCTTATTAATAGCTACTTATATTATAAAGTTATAGAGTAAAGAAGTTTAAAGCTAAATTTTAAAGTTCTTTACGTAATTACTATACTTACTACTAGTATAGCCTATATATAGCTAGAATTTAGCGCTTATAGCTAAATTTTAATACTTATAGCTAAATTTTAGACTTAAAGTAAAGCTAAAATTAGATATCTATAGTTAGAATTAGTTACTAAATTAAGCACTTAAAATAGGCGTCTTTATAGCTAGAATTTAGCGCCTCTATAGCTAAAAAA